CCATGGCCACAACCAGCAGAAACCTGTCAACCCCCGGATTGACGCTTTCCCCAGTCATCCACCGAGCGTCTGCTATACTCCCTACTCAAACTGCGTTCCCTCATTCATCCGCGTCAAAAGAAGAAGGAACAAATGTCACCATCCCACGTTTTGTCCGACCATCAGCAGGAACGTCTCTTTTGAAGGGCATAATATCACAAACATGTTACTCTTAGACCCAGGGGGGCTTACCCATTTCTCCCCAATCGATACCTTGTTGAACAGATCCCCTTCCCGAAAGCTCAACGAGTCCTTGCAAGACCCATCAGCGGCAAAAGGCGCAAATCTGTCTTACCGTCTGCATATATAGTCTAGTACACAATAGATACATACGTGGAACGCACCACGGAATTAGTATCCCCTATCTACGAAAGATCGTACGTACGCAAAGTACGGCAAACTCTGATCAGGCTGCAATTAACGGAAAATCCTATGGGTCATGGAAAAGCTTACGGAAGGACGGAATCTTCCGTAAAATCATGGCCTACCTAGGTATTTAAATATTATAACTTGTTGTCGTCTCTTACTATTTTCGTAGGTAATCTGGGCTTGATGGCTTGGGAAAAGGCACCTAGAGAACGCAAAACAGACTACCAGAGCGGTTCTAGCTTTTGGGTAGCTGTAGTTATGGGTACTTGGAGGATGGACATATCGGGGGCTTGTTGTTAAGCCTTGTTTTGGTTATGTTGTTTTAGGAACGTGAGGGTTGTATGGCAACCTGATGGCCTTGAATCCGGCCTCGATAGCTGCTTGACTATCAAGGTAGAGTTGGCGTTCTCTGATTCGTAACGCCCTAGCAAAAAGCCATGTCTTCGCTCAGAGAACTGCCTGTCTCCTAAAAATAGAGAAACAAGCCAATGAAAAGAACAAGGAAAGGAGACAACAGAGCATAATAAAATACCTCCGACAATCATTTACCTTTCCCTCAGAACCTCCCAAGCTAATTAGGTAGTCATACTATCACACACAAGGCCCACGTGGCTGGCTTTTCAAAGCAACGCGCTCGGCACATCGGCCACTTTTCTCTTCTCACGACGCAACAAAGCAAACCAACCTCCCGCAACTCTATTCCTCCCATCCCACGTATTCGTATGTAAGGTAGCTCACCCTTCACACATTGGGCAGCGTAACAGTAGCGTCCAACATGCCGAATTATATCCTAGTTTTCTGAGCCCTCCTTCTCTCTCTTATCATTTTATTCCCGCGTATTACATACATACCGTTCAATGAGAGAGGGAACATGTCATGGCATAGCCTCCTCTCACTTATTGCTTACTCTTTTCGCCCTGGGAATAACCAGGACCAAGGAAACAATGCACGCCGCCTTTTTCTCTCCCACACCATCGGGATGCTTTATCCGAGGGGGCCAAGAAACGAGCCGCGTCAAGATGGCTCAGGTGCCACCAGACACTAGATGGGGGATAAGTAGCCCATACATTTTATATATACACACATGCATACAGTGTTCTTTGCCGACGATCCGTGCTAGAATCCCAGAGCATGTAATCCAGAGTGGCTCGGCTCTGCTACTTGCTAGGTAATAGCCGGTTCGCCTTCACCCCCCCGCCTTCGTTCCCGTACATCGTCTTTCGCAGAGAAACAGAGTAAGAGGGATAGAGAGTAAGACCAGAACATGGAGGGGCGAAAAGGGGACCGATAGAACTACCATCACCGGCTTCCCCCCTTCTCCCCTTCTCTCCGAAATGTGGCTGCTTACTTCCTGTCGAGATCTACCCCCACAATTCGAAGGACACCGAGATCGCTATACGCCAGACAGTAGCGCGTCGGCGCCCATGCCACCACTGGGCACGATCCCGCCGTCTTGAACGTGTGGACATGCTCCCCGGTCTCGACGTGTGTCACCTCCAGTCCGTTGCCTGTTGTGGGTTGTGATGATGCGTCAGCAAAGAACGTCGTCAGGAACTTGATCCAGCCAATGCTGCAACAAGTCGTCTGAGGCGGGTCTCTTTGAACCACGGGATGCCATCTGGCTGACTCACCTTCGTCACTACCGCCGACGACGTAGCTGCCGTCAAATGTGAAGCCTGCAAAAGCACGTGGCGGTTAACCTCCAGACAAGCTTTGACAAGCCCTTCATCAGGCACGGCAAACTCAAGCCTTCGCGGGATCAAAACTCACTTATGCTCCTCACCGGGCCCGTCATCCTCGTAATCGTCCTCTGACACAGCCAATCCGTCGTGTCCCAAAGCGCAATGATCGAGTTGGCTCCCCCCGTGGCCAGATATCTGCCCGTGGGCTGCAGCTCGGCGGTCAGGCATGCGGCCGTGTGGCCCTTGAGCGTGAACTCCGGGGCATCGTCGCCCTCGCCCAGGCGCAGCACCGGCTCAAACTCGGGGTACGACAGGATCCGTATCTCGCCCTCCGACGTGGTGACGAATATTTTCTTCCCGCTCCAGCAAAAGGCGATTTGGTTCGTCTGCACCGTCTGCTGGTGTGACGCCAGGGGGGTTGACTGTGTTGGTGACAGAACAAAGATATTATCCGACTTGGAAACCCGTGAGCCATTCAAATGTCTGCGACGTGATGATGGAGAGACAAATAGAACATAGACGAGACATACCCTGTTCCCGACAAGCAGAGTCTGCCCATCAGGGGCCCAAACGAGCGTCATCGCATCGCCCAGGCCCGTGACCTCGTTGAAGCAAGCCTTGGTTCGCACATCCCAGAACCGAACCACTCCGTCACTGCTCAGGCTGCACAGTTCGGCGTCTTTTGTGGGATTGAAGGCGACCTTCTCGATGCCCGCCGCGTGGCCCTTGAGCTCCGTTGAGAATTTGACATTGGGCTTTTCAGGATTCCCTACCGCGCGCGCGTCAATCTCAGCTTTCCCCCTCCCTTCGCTCGTCACTTTCACTTCGGTCACGCCCACTTACAGACTCGGAGTGTCCTATCAGCTGAGCCCGTAGCAACTAGAGTCCCGGGGGGATTCCATGCAATCGATCTCAGACTATGCAATCGCATCAGTATCTGCGTCTCAACGGGCTTCGTCAAGGGGGGTCGGTCCAGCCATCACTCACTTCAAGGGTCCGGCGGCCCGTGATGAGTTGGGATCCGTATATGGCTGGCTCCTGAGACTGTTGAAGTAGCCCGGGAACCTCTCCTTGGACAGGCTCACCCGGGGTCTCAAAATCGGCGCCATGGCCGTGTGACTGTGCTCTGCCTTCTCCTCACCGGATCAACAAGGAGGTCGCGCGCGTTGAGAATCCTTGCGTTCCCTCTTTCCTTAATAGAAGCGCGGCACTCGGAAGAAGTAAAGTATTTATTCACGCGTAAAAGACTCGTGGGAATGCCAATGCAAGCGTAGCGATATCGAAGGGGTGCTGAGCGAATTGCTTTTCAAGGTCTGGTTGTAAGGGAAGGGGTTCGAATATCGCTGAGGATGGTGTAAAAGGCTAGGCCAGGCTGAAGGCGGCGAAGAGCCACCGACTACCTTGGTGACAGCATTGTAGTGTGGCTGGTGACTCAAAGACTGGTGTGGCGCAGCAGCAGGCATCTGCTGCTCACTGATCATCTCGAATTTGGGACTGTAACTGCAGTCAAACAGTGACAGTCAACGATTAACGTCATCTCTCTTTATAGCTACTCTCGCTTGCTCTAGCAGCGGCATTACATCCCCATGAAAGAAATGACAAAAGAAAGCCAAGTCGTGATGATGCATCATGAAATCAAAGACGAAACACAAAGAAACACGATAAAAGGGCATAAGCCAACAAAGCCGATAACAACCATTCAAGTCTCATACAATTCAATTCTCATCGCGGTTTGAAAGCCGTCCATAAACCAATCATGATATGTGTACACTTTTCTATCTCGGACCCTGCCCGTCAACAAGGGCCGGACTGTGGCAGCGGGCTTTTGCGATTGCTCAACGGCCACAGCTCATCAAGCTCCTCCAACAGAATCGAAGCGCAGCTCCAACCGAGAGCATCAGATGCCGCAACCAGTCCGTCGTCCGAATGTTGAGTCACCCCTGTACCAGACCACCACAACAAGCCGACTCCAAGATTGGCAAACCAATACCTTTACCCTTTCCTCCCCCATGACTCCAAGGCGCCTGTATCAGAAGACGAGAAAAACAAGAAAACAAAGACGCGAAGCGGGATTCCATGCTGAAATATTGAAAAACCAGACAATTGCAGACATAACCTGCTAGATATCAAACAATGGGAATGGCGATGCAATGTAGCCGAAACAGCGCGGCTTCCAGACCTGATGCTTCAAAGTCGCAATTAACAATGCAAGGACTAACACTTTCGTGTGTCGTACACGCGTAAAGCGACAACATTATGGCGTGGTCATGCTCACTGCCGTTGAACAGTCAGGCTCATGATGGTGTCCAACGTAGAAGGGTCGTATGCCAAACGGTGAACGGGGACTCGCATAACTCAAGACAACCAAGTGGAGGAAATTCAGTGCGAGTGACGGCCAACGTGGTCATAATCATGAAATCTGGTCCAAGGAAAGATGGAGATCTTCGATGCCAAACAACGGCGCGTTCTTCTTGGCCCATTGGCGGGAAAGGATAGAAGCTGCCAAGGGCGTTAGAAACGGGACCTCAACACACGATCGACGTCTTGCTATCAAGCATACCTTTGAGGAATTTCTTGCTAGCATACTTCTTGAAGAATGCTTCGTGGATGGGGGGGCGCGCCAAGTAGTCAACCATGAGGTTGACAACAGGCTCAACCTCATCCTCTGTGTAGCCTGCATAATACGCAATAGTCGGATCCTATTGTCCACATTGTTAGCATTTCCCATTACCGATAGCATAAAGGGTCTGCTCTTTCACTCACCCACTCGCCGCGGTCAAGCATGAGTCGCGCCAGGTACATGGAAGCGGCGGCGACGTGGCTGGGACGGTAGACCATGAACCGGTGGTCCAGCAAGCTGATCTCCGTAAGATACTTGCCAATGGTACGTGACTGGATATCATAGTTGTCCGCCTTGGAAACTCGGCGAAGGAAGTTCATGGGGTTGGGATAGCTGAGATCATAGTTGAGGGTGCTAAGAATGAAACGTTCCGCGCTCAGAATCTCAGCCTCGCTGAAGCCATCGTCGGCAATCTTCTTGAAGTTCTCAACGTGAGGTGACAGAACCTCTTCGTACTTGGAGGCGATGAACATGGCAGTGATGCCGACGAGCTGCAGGCGGTCGAGCTGGACAACCTTTTCGGAGAGGAACCGATCGATGATGTTGACGGCCAGGAACAGGGTCTCGGGGAGCAGGTGAAATCGGGTGTGGACCTCGATGAGCCAGTCAATGAGGATCCCACGCGTCTTCCACTCGAGGTCGTCCTGGTGAGACATGTAGTCGGGGTTGGGAATCGATTGGACTTCGAGTTCTCGCAAATAGTCGAAAATATCGTTGGCATACTCGGCAACCATGAGAGGGTCGTCCAGGTCCTCTTCGTCGAGGCTCTTGATGTTGGCCAGCAGTTCGGCCTTCGCAGCCTCCTTGGGATCCAGCTGGGGCGGAGCGGCTTTGGCTGGGGCAGCCTTGGCGGGAGCAACCTTGGTAGGCGCGGATTTGACAGGCGCAGATTTGGTGGCAGCAGGAGCCTTGTTCTCAGCCTCGACAACAACTTCGGCGCGCGCACGCTTCTCAGCATCGAGATGAGCCTTCTTGCGAGCCGGTTCCGCCGCTTCAGGCACGGCATCCTCCTTGGGGGCAGCTGTGGGAACTTTTCGCTTGGGTCCAATGGTGCCGGCCCCCGACTTCTTTGTCTCTGGCTTCTTCAGTTCCTTGCTGCTCAAAGCCGTCCGACCCGCAGTTGGGCGAGTGCTCTTCTGAATACCCGTTGGCTGAGCGGCCTTGGACACCAGGCCCTTGGATGCCGTCACCTTCTTTCCCTCAACAGCTTCCGTTTTGCTGACATTGCTGACATCGCCCAGAGCAGCGCGTTTTCTAAGTCCGTTGGTTGTGGTGACGCCGACAGTCTTCTTTGTCTGGAGGCCAACTTTGGAGGGGGCTGCTGAATCGGCCACGTTAAGGGCCGCCGACTTGGCCCTGGTCATACGCGTTGTGGTGCTGTTTTCGTCATTCTCGTTGGAGACGACGCGAGTACGGGGTCGTCCCTGGGTACCGCGTCAGCACTCTCTCGACCAAAGGGCGACTTGGCATTGGACCATGAAAACAGTAGGGGATACTCACAGGAGGCATATTCGAAAGTATGAACTGAGATGAAGAACTAGTGGCTGTGTAAATAGCGTCAAGGCTTGGTACTGTAGTTGCCGACATGTCAGCAAGCACAGAACGCGTCGACAAGGTATAACGAGAGAAAAAAGAGTGCATGCAGCAAACGAAAGATGGATCAACTGGGGTTAAAAGAGATCGAGTGAAGCTCTCCTGAGACACTCATCTCAAGACAAGGGGTTGGGAATGTTACTGACCTCTGAATTGCCAGTTCAAATCCAGGAACCGGCACGTCTAGCTGTCTGGCAGGAATGCTGCTGCTGCGCGGTAGAGTCAATGACTGGACTAAGGGTAATTGAAACGAACAGGCGGGATGCACGACTATGGGTAAGTGTAAAGGAAAGGAAAGGCGGCAGAAAGGGTATCAAACGAGCACGATTGGGGATGATGCAAACTGTGTATGTCAAAAGAGGATGGTGGTGAGGGCGAGCGGTGTTTTGAGGAGAAAACGCCCAAGGGAGCGCGGAGTGGGCCAGCGCGGCCGGGTACGTACCTGCTACCGGTGCCAGGTGTGTGAGATGTGTCTGTACCTGTACCTGTGCTTGTACCTGGACAAAGCTGGGCGCGGCTCGCGATTTTTGGCGATTGCCAGGCAGGCAGTCAAGGCAAGTAACAAAAATAGGTGTCAAGTCGATAAGTCAATGCACTGGACGTTTTGCTTTGTTTGTGGGTGAAAGAACGCCCGGGTCTAGTGGCGGCCAGGGCTGGGGGTGACAATGACGACGATAGGCATGCAGTCAGGCAGGCAGGCAGTCCGTGGGTTGACGCTGATGAGGGCGAGCAGTTGATTGCGTCTCGGGACAGCGGTGAGGAGGTCTGGCGAGGGCCTGGATCGGGATCTGATCTGAGTCGAGTCGAGGCGAGGGGAGCCAATGCTGGACTGGACTGGACACCGAGGACAGGCGGGCAACTGCGCAGCGTCCAAGTCGAATCGAGGCTCAACGAGTGGACTGGGGATGGAGATGGAGATACCGGTATAGAGAGAGAGTCGATACGATACGATACTCGGTAGAGAGGAAGAAGCGAGAAGAAAAAAACAAGACTAAGAGCCGGCTTCCAGAACGGGACGGGATCCTGGGCTGTGATGGATTGTACAGGTACTGCAGCCAGAAGCGGGCGGGCGACGAGTGGAGGCTCACGCAACGACTCACAACGCGACGTTTGGCGGGCTTTTCGCGGGCCGGGGGGTTGGACTGCTGGAAACGGCCAATGTCAACAGTAGCAACCGCCAGGCAACGGGGCTGTGATTGGCCAGACGCGACCAGCAGCTCAAGGCGCGCGAGCTTTTTGGCTGGCCAGTGGCTGGACGCCCTTTGACGTGGAGATGCGTGGCATGGGCTGAGTCAGCACAGCTGCCCTCTTTTCTACTGGATAAGGTAGGTACGCGAGGCTGGCAAGCTTCAGTTGGTGAGCTTGGTTGCTTATGTAAACATAGAAACTCAACTCTCTCGGCACAACGTTTTTCAGCGCTCCGTTGAAATTTCAACGTGGGACATCGAAAAGACGATAGGCCGAGTCGTTCGATTTGCGACTCCACGCCGAATTGCTCGACGACAACCAGCACGGCTCTTGCAGACCTGTGAGCTGTTGGAGATCGTCTTGCGCAGCTTCCAGGGAGCTTGGATCTGCACTTTACGGGGCTGCTCTTGGCCAATTGCTGGGGCTGCGAGACGTCGAGCGCATACAAGATCCTGCCCCCCACCACCGCCAATGCTGGTCGACCACTTTGGGAATTTATACCTCGCAATATCGACTTCTTGATCCTCGCAAACTCGAGGACAGCTTTCAAGATGCTGCAGCCGAGGCTCTCCATCGCTCCGGCGCTCAGCAGCCGCCATCTTCTCGCAGCGTTCAACAATCTCTCGCTGAGGGGTTATGCCACCAAGGCAAAGACCACCAGCGAGCCGGTGGCCAGCACCGAGAGACGCTCGACTCAATCCGTCATGCTGCGCACCTACAAACCCAGGACACCCGGTGTTCGACATTTACGGCGACCTATAAACGACCATCTCTGGAAGGGACGGCCGTTCCTCCCTCTGACAATCCCGAAGAAGGGCCAGGGAAAAGGTGGACGAAACGTCTACGGCCGAATTACCGTCAGACACCGAGGAGGCGGTGCTAAGAGGAGGATACGGACGGTGGACTTTATCAGATGGCGTCCCGGGCCGCACCTGGTCGAACGGATCGAATATGACCCTGGACGTAGTGCTCATATTGCTCTGGTCACGGAGCAGGCCACGGGGCAAAAGTCATACATCATTGCCGCCGATGGGCTGAGGGCCGGTGATATTGTTCACAGCTACCGTGCCGGTATTCCACAGGATCTGCTCGACAGTATGGGTGGTGTCATTGATCCGGGTATTCTTGCGGCCAAGACGGCCTTCCGAGGAAACTGCTTGCCGATGCACATGATCCCGGTCGGAACGCAGGTGTTTTGTGTCGGCTCCGCAGCCAAGAGGGGCGCCGTCTTCTGCCGGAGTGCGGGTACTTCCGCCACCGTGGTGAACAAGAACGAAGAGACGAAAGATGACGGCACCAAGATCATGACGGGCAAGTACGTCGAGATCCGGCTTCAGAGCGGCGAGGTCCGCCGTGTGAGCAAGGACGCGTGTGCCACCATTGGAGTTGCCAGCAATATCCACCACCATTACCGGCAGCTTGGTAAGGCTGGTCGAAGCCGATGGCTGAACATTCGGCCTACCGTCCGTGGTGTGGCCATGAACAAAGGTGAGTGCGCCTGTATATCTGCTCATCTGTTGAAGTTACTAACCCACCTGCGATAGTTGATCACCCTCACGGTGGTGGTCGAGGAAAGTCAAAGGGCAACCGTCATCCTGTGACTCCTTGGGGCCGACCGGTAAGTGTTATTGTCCTGTTCCTACTGCGAATATGGAAGTACGAGACTAATACGAATATCACTGTAGACCAAGAGTGGTTACAAGACTCGCCGTGTGCACAATGTCAACAAGTGGGTTGTGACGCCTCGGCCACGCAACCACGGCAAGCGGAGAGACAAGAGGTCGTCCAAGGATTGATCTTGAGACAGTCCAATAGACAGTTTGATGGAGGGAAAACGATACGAAGCTATGTATATGCGCCGGTAGCAAGCGTGATGCAGCTCTGCGCAACTGTATATTATGTGCTATTATTGACATGCCTTGACGGCGAACAGCTTTGATGAAGATTCATGTGCCAGCCTCGAGTCTGCGAAATGCCAATATGGCTGTGAGTCTGTACTTGGTATGATTGGATCATACTGATTGTGTGCAGCGGGCGGCTCTTCTTCACTGGAGTTGCTTTTGAAGGGGTTTCTCATCCCTGGTTGAACGCAAATCTCGCTACTATGCCCACAGGCTAAGCACTGCCGGGACGGTAACACTCGGGCCCAATGATGACTGGAATCATCTCAACAATTTATCTTTCTGGACAAGGGGCGATCAGTCTGATTCTCCACGATCATATTCTATCCAGTATGCTAACATTCCACTTGGCCTTCCAGCGCCGTCGTTTCTGTAATCTTTCGCATGCTTTGAAACCGAGTGCCGCCTGACTTGGCATCGCCAATGCTTCGTAAGCTCAAAGATGAGAGCAAAGCGCTCATTGCCCATGAAGAATCTGCACCATTCAGAGAGGCAACATCTTGCGATTTCCTCTCTCCTTTTCCTGTCTTTGTCTCTTGTTTTGGCAGCCCAGCATGACAATGTGAGCTAACCAACCCATGTCGTATATACGAGCATCTCCGCTTATTAAGGAGAAGCCAGCATCTCGTGTAACCCTTGGCGCCTGTGCAGAGAAGAGAGATTGGACAGGTGCTCAATTGGGGAGTAGAAAAGATCTAGTATGACCAGCACGATAGGGTGCAGTATTTGGGGCTTTGCTCGATTGACCAATCGCAGTCATGGGGATTCCTAGAACTTGTTGTAAGGACGGAGAAGGCCGTTCTTTCTCAAGCAAGGATGGCTCAGGTATAGTGCTAACCTATCGTGGCAGTATTATTACCTGAAAACCTTAGTAGCTACCTAGCCAGCTACTACAGTAAAATTGGGGAATTGTCGCCACGGGAAGCTCTGTAATATAGGTACCAGTTCTAATGAATCACGGTGAGAAGAAGAGGCTGCTTATTTTACGCTTGACGATTAACGTTAAGATTTCATGATGATCTCTGGCGGAGTGGCAGTCTGTACTACCTTAGTGCTTCGCACTTGCAACAAGTTTCAAGTCGAAATGCCAAGGAGCCAAGAGCCGGCGCGAGCTACGGCAGCTGGGCAGCAGGAGCGAATGAGACAAGGGTGACGCCTGCCGAGATTTCTCTAATGCTCCTTCCACTGCTGTCAAACCGCCGCTGGGAAGGCGCAGGCACACGACCCACTTCCTCATCCAGATCGAAACATACAGACGCTTTTCGCCGTTTCTCTCCTTGCCTCCTGCCTCCTGGTCGCCCTGATGCACGGCACACGCGCCAGGTCTCTCCTCCCCTCAGGCTGATTCTATCGTAGGTGACTCCGTTGTACCGGCTGTTCCCCTTTTAACTGTACGGGGTGCTCTGTCACCTGGCCCGTCCTGCTGGTACCACCTGGTAGGGCTCTACTTAGCCTTGCTTGCTCTTTATAACGAACCGGCATCCATAAGGTAAGGTACGACGCCAAAACTGTACTCATCTTGCATGCTCGCCCTTCCATTGGCTTCACCTCCTGACAGAAAGATCTTCTCCTTGCAGGCAACTCAAGACGGCGGACTGCATCACCAGCAGAATCCATCATTCACAGGTAATCATGGTTCCAGCTCTCTCTCCATCTTGCTCCCTCTCCCTCGTCCGTCTCCCCCAGACTTGCTGCTGCTAGACAACAGTCTTCATTCCCCATACGAAAATTCCAACCCCTGCAGCAACCGGGTGAGACTACTATGCAGACAGAGACAGCAGACTGCCGCAAGTGCTGCTATTATTACTGCTGCTGCTATGACTAGCCACCTCGAGCGGCCGGCCAGAAGGCTGTGCATCTGCTTTGCCGCGCGGCCCCTTTGGATCGACACCGCTGTGGAATCCATCATCGCCTCGATAAAACCGAGAACCGAGCTGGGCGACGACTACATTATTATAGTGGGCGCCGCATCCACTGGACGGAGGCAGATCTGAGCTTGTCTCGTCCACACCTCGCCAAACCCCGGCTCGGGCTCTCAACTTTAATCCTTTCCATTCCGTTCTAAGCTCTCCCCTTAGACACCCATCTCGTCCATACCCACCGTTAGCCTCGACTCTCCCTTTATACCCTCATCACACCCCGCCTCTTATAGTCCTCTTGTCTTGTGCTCTTGTCTTGACGGAAGCTGATGCGACCATATCAGAAAATGGCCCGCTCCGGGTCTGACGCCAAACGGGGACGGCCCTCGATCCGCCTCATCACGTCCTACATCTTCGACTGGGTCATCCTCCTCGTCGTTGCTGCCGTCGGCTACGTCCTCGGAGTTATCACGCCCAACAAGCGGCCCTTTTCCTTGGTTGACCCAAACATCTCGTGAGTGCTGTGCTACATCGGTACCAAGATGTCGACCAACGCCTGTCTCGTCCTTAACCACTGACGGCAGTGCTCCAGCTTTCCCTTTACAGAACACGAAACTGTGCCGGACTGGCTGCTCTTTGTCTTGAGCGTCGGCGTCCCTGTCGTCATTATCATCATCGTCTCCATCATTTTCGTGCCTGGGGCCACAGTTCCCAAGAACACCCCTGCTTCGCTGATATGGAGACGGAAGCTATGGGAGCTTCACATTGGTCTGCTGGGACTCCTCATGTCCGTCGCTTGCGGCTTCTTCTTCATCAGTGGGATCAAGAACATGTGCGGCAAGCCTCGACCCGACCTCCTCTCACGATGCCAGCCAGACCTCGAGAACGCGGCCAAGTACATTATCGGCGGCTTCCAGGGCGAGTCTAAGCTGGGCAACAGTATTGGTCAGCTCTATTCCGCAGATATCTGCCAGCAAACAGACAAGGCGAAGCTCGATGATGGCTTCCGAAGCTATCCCAGTGGCCACTCTGCTGCCTCCGCGGGCGGCCTCCTCTACCTCTCGCTGTTCCTTGCCAGCAAGTTTGCCGTAACCATGCCATTTGTGGCCACAGGGTCTCATTCGTCCAACCACGAGGTTCATGCTGCGTTTCCCTCCCGCTTGGGGTCCGCAGTCGAGCAGTACGACGACGATGCCACCGTTCCCATGACGGGTAAAGGCGCGAACCAGACCATCGCATACAACTCGAGCATCCAAGCTCTACGTCGCCAGGCGGCCGCTCCCCCCGTCTACCTTCTCGTCATCACCGTGGCGCCCTTTTGTCTAGCCATCTTCATCGCAGCATCCCGCTGGTTCGACTTCCGGCACCACGGCTTCGACATTCTGTTTGGCTTCCTCATCGGCGTCTTCACTGCCATCTTCAGCTTCAGGTTCTATCACTTGCCCATCACCGTGGGAGCTGGTTGGGCGTGGGGTCCTCGCAGTCCAGACAGGGCGTACTGGGCGGGTGTTGGCCGATTGGGCTATGCTGCCGACAATGACGTGGAGCGTGCGACGCCGCGTTCTGCCAACTTTGGAGAGTCCACCGATGTCGAGGCTCGGCCCGCTTCCCTGTCGATGCCCGCAGCTATGAGCTATCGATCTCCAGTATCAAGGGGTGATCCGTATCAGGACGTAGAGCTGCACAACTTGGAAGGGGGTCCAAGCCAAGGGGCGCAACGAATCAACTAATTGGGGGGATTTTCATGATGATACCCATCTCCTCCGCGGGAGATTGCATTTAGTGAATTGGTCGAGGGGAGAAAATGGGCTTTGAAATATTTGCCTTTTAGAAAGGCCGGCTGCATGCCTGGAATGGTTATGTCTTTATCAATATAGATTCCACTTGATTGTTTATAGATGCACGAAGCGATGTAATTTCTAGGGTGGAAACGAAAGACAGAATCACCGGTCTATCATCATGATTTACCTTGCATATATCACTTTCGAGTTCTAGGACAAACGAGCAACGGTTAGAAAAGGGGTTCAGGTTACACTATTAGACTAACAATACGCATTCACGGAACAGAAAAACAAAAATTCATACGTGGAGATGAGGCAATACTCAAACTCCAGAACATTGTGCGCTCCCCTCCTTTCCCTTCCTTTCCCATCTTTCCCCGCCGCCGCTGTTGCCAAACGCCTATCCGTGCAAAACGGAAGAAACAAAAAGAAGGATGCAATGTGTAGAGTAATGGGAGGTTGAGAAGAAAATGGCGTGTTTTGACGGAGAGGCCCGAGTATGGTCGCGTGAAAGGCATGTCTCATCCTGGCTTCTCTTTTGGACCTTTTGTATCTTCTCAGCTGTTGCTCATTTGGGGCCCCATGAATAATTATTTCTCTTGAAGTTTTTAAACAGGTATAATTGCGTGTTTCGTGTTTTGGAACATCCACCCTCGCTGCTCAGTTCGGCCCCTCGATCAGCCTCACGTTGTTGTTGGCGGCGTTGTTCGCCTCCACGCCCTCAAACTCGACATCGTCGTCCTCCTCCTCGTCGTCGTCCTCAATCTGCTCCTCCCTGAAGCCGGACTCGATCTCGAGCTTGCGCAGCCTCCTCCGCATGTCGTCGCGCTTGAGGTCCTGCCACCGGACGAGCGCCGCGGCGGCGTGCACCTTGAAGCCGTAGACGCGCGGGATGTAGCGCTCGATGCTCTTGGAGGGGATGAGGGCCGGGTAGACCTGGAAGATGATGTTGTGGAACGAGGTGCCGAAGTAGGCGCCGTCGATGGAGGCGTGGCGCGACGACTTGGGGTTGTAGAGGTCCTCGCAGCGGGCGCAGTAGAGCTTGACGGGCTTGAGGTTGGGGATGTCGGAGAGGCCCATGGGGAGGAGGGGGTGGGAGTGGCAGTTGACGCGGGGGCATTTGCCGAACTCGGCCTTTTTGTACTTGTCGAGCTGCGGTTTTTTCGTTGAGAGTTAGCACCTTTTTGTGTGTTGGGCTCTGCAGAAAGAGAGAGAGAGAGAGAGAGAGAGAGAGAGAAAGAGGCTGTACCATCTTTGTCAGACCGCGCGTCGTGACAATGTATCGCGCGTGCACCAGGCCGTAGAGATGTCTAGCCGAGCTCTCGATAGTCTCTCGCATGTCATCGTCGCAGTCGAGGTCGAAGACGTCCGTCACCAGGTCGAGCGCATACTGGTAGTACTGCACCTCGGTGTTGAGGCCCGTCAGGTTGAAGCGGTCCGTCAGGTAGTCTTCGTCGATTTCGCAAAAGTATTCGTTGCCGCGGGATGAGATGAACTGGAGGCGGAAGGGGAGGAGGGCTGTTAGCTGGGACGTTTTTCGGACCATTGTGGCTGTTTGTCTGGGTTTCTTTTGTTTGGGGATCTATTTTTCTTTTTCTTCCTTGATTTTTTTTTCTTCGTTTCTTCTTTCGCGTGTCACGGTCTGCCGTTGGTTTGGGAACGAGAGAATGGCAGTTGTGGCAGGTCGGATAACAAGTCCTTGTGGGTGCAGATAGGATGAAACACAAGGGAGAAGAAAAATCACATATAAAGAGAGACCATATGTCAGAGACGGCAAACAAGAAGAAGAAGCTTACCCAGTCCCGCCAATAGCTGGTGTAGTCACTGTCGGACTCGCTAACGAAGTCATCCATCGCGTACGGCGTAGATAATCGAAAGACGCGCAACTAAAGGAGGAAGGAGAAGAAGAGAGAGAGAACAAAAGAGGGCACAAGGCCGAGACGACGAGGCTGCCCAAGGATTGGGCGGAGAGAGAGAAGAAGAAGCTGGCGGGCGGAAGGGGGCTCTCGAGAGGCGGCCGAAGTTCGGATCGTGAAGATTGCCCGAGAAAAGGAGAGAATCTCAAAGGGTATCAGATGTTTGTAAAAAGCCGGGAAGCGGGTGGCTGTTGACGCGAAGCCCCCCCAAAGAAAGTTGGTCGAGGTTTTTGTGATAGAAGTTGAAGCGTTGGGACGTCGGTTTGATGGTTGACGGTTGATGGTGGGGGTGATAACGTGACTAAGGCGGGAGGGAGGGAGGGAGAGTGTGGTTATGGGAGGAGCTGTTAGTGCGTGGCTGCGATGTGGGCGGCTGCGATAACAGCAGTTGATGGGCTCGATTAGTTGATCAGGTTGGGAATATGTAAGATATAGCTACGCGGTTCCCTGTTTGGGCTTTCAGTGAGCAGGCCGCGGATTGTGATAGATATAGAGATGATATAGTAGTTGATTCGACCCTCTGCTACCGCATGCAGTTGTGATCCTGCTGCTTCATGCGTGGTTGCCGTAGTCGCCATGGCACAGCATAAACAGCTCCCCCAGAACAAGGACCATCCCGGCTCAGGTCGACAGAATTCAACCAAACGCGATAGTAATAGAATGTTCGTACCCGAGATATAAATACACAAGCACCACTCTGTTTGCCCAGTAGCTTAGCAATATATACACGGCAACGTATATCCTTGATGCATCTCGCCAGATTGCTGTGCTTTTACCCAAAATCGATCCCGCATCTCATCCGTTTCGCCGAATTCAAACCCATGAAGGAAAAAGACGACAACCATCTAAGAGAGTACAAGCAGAAACAAACAAGATAGGGAGGCCCTCGCCTCGTCATTTCCATCGCATGAAACATTCGCCGTCGCTGCGCTCTTCCGCTCTTTGCATCCCATCGTTCATCATCCGTCCAGGGGGCTTACCGTCGAGCCCATGCTGCTGGCATCGCTGTGAGACCGTACGTCGGATCCCGTCCCGTCATCGCTCCCGTTCTTGTTTCTCCCATTGGTAATGAACCCCAAGCCCGTTACAGGGAGCTCGAGTCTGCTGGAAATGTTATCCTGGCTAGACATCTGCGTCAAGCCCACGTTGGCCATCTTCATGGCTTCTTTGAGAATCTCTCCGGTTTCGTCCATGGCGGCCAAAAACCTGGCGAGTTCTTTGCACAGCTCCCAGTCGCCTTCTCTTATCGCTCTTGAGAGAACCCGTACCGACTGTTCCAAGGAAGCATCCAGCTCGTCCAGCGTATGCAAAATGATGAGGTATCCGCCTGCCGTCTTGAGCGAACCCCTTTGCAACGACTCCTCAAACAGCTCCTGCGCTGGCGGGAGATAGGCAAAAAGCGTCTTCCACTGCCGGACTTCTGTCTTCCTCGTGCACTGCAACACAATGTCAAGGTACTCCTTAGAAGATGACAGCAGGGACAGGACACGCGGCAAGACGGCCTCTTCCGGCTTCGGCGATGTGTCTGCTTCTTCGTCCAGCACGCGATGCAGGAGCACTTCGAGTCCATGGGCGAAATATTCCAGTCCTTCGTATTGCTGCGAGAGGTTTGCCGCCTCCACCGTCATGTTGTTGACGAGATAGAACCGTAGCACATCTGGCAGAACGAGATGCGTCTGGATGAACAAGTAAGTAACAGAGAACTAAAGAACGACTTGGATCTCCCATGCCAACTCACCCTGATTGCAAAGTGAAAAAAGGAAAAGGCCACATCGCGTCGCTGCACCAGGTCTGATTCTACCCCAAGAACAATGCCCTTTTCTAGGAGAATAGACAAGGGGTAAAAGTCAACGTCTACCGATACCGGCGTTGGCAGCTCTCTCGTCCCACCATCTCCGCTCGCCGCCGTCAATAGGTCATGGATATCGGTCCATGCCTTGATCTCCATCCCGTCAAACAGCCACAGGGAATCGCGGAGAGCCGGTGGTCCGTACCGAAGTTGGGCCTCGTCGGGGTAGTGGCTGCTGACGTTAAGAGGAGGCTGATCTCGCATGCTCACATGGTACTCTACGTTTTGCGCAATGATTCGCATGTCATACTTGAGCTGGCCGTCGTCGTTGAGAGAGGGGCTCAGCAACACCAGCTTGCCGTCGACGAGAAAGAGCACAGACGCGACAGCCACGTCTTGGGAAGGATCACCGTCGCTGAGCTGGCTGTCCGGCAAGATCCAGCTGAGCCCTCGAACTCTGGCGGGCGATCTCACAATTCCGTGAAACGCAATTTGGCCTACCTGGATGAGACGGACCGAGCCGGCGGTCGGCACGAAGATGTAGTGGTACAGCAGGTTCTCATAGGTGTAGACTAGGAGGGAATCTTCGCCAGAGGCCGTGACCAGGACGACAGGAGCGGGCAGGCGCTCGGTGTGCAGCACATGCGAGTTGTCCAGCGCCGCCTCGCGGGAGTAGAGCCGCAGCTCAAATGTCCGGCTGTCCTCCACCGCCGCGACCAGGATATGCTGATACCAGCACATGCCTCCCCGGACCGAGAAGGAGTTCTCCATGACCTCGTCGGCAAACGTCTTCCAGCGCCCGCTGTTGACGCTGTAGTGGGCCAGTCCTCGGCGGCCGGCGACAGCGACGTAGCGTCCATCCGGCGAGATGACCGTCTGGCGGATGGGCCACTGGTTGAGCAGGTATGACGACGGGATTCTGGAAGTGTGCCACAAGAACGGCTCCGCCGATATACTCGTCAAGTCGGGCAGGTCGTAGCCTCGGTAGATCATGACGCTGGTCGGTGTTTGTAGGACGGTGCGAAAGACATTGGCCTCGTTGTAGCAGCCCGTGATGGCATTCTTGGCCATCTCGAGCGACCATATTGCTTCATGCCTTTGCCCTATCAGGAGAATCTCGGAGCCGCCGCCCGACCAGACGGCGCCCTTGACCCCCAGAAGCCACTGCTCGCCATTGAGGGCCGAGATGCTGGGCTCTGCTCCGAAGCTGTTGGTCCCCAGCTTTCCAAACATGCTGAATGTTGACCAGCCCTTTTCGAACCCCGCAAAGAGGCAGTATCCATCGGGCGAGTACGTCAAGGTTGTAAAACAGCCAGTCGTCGCCGTTGAAAAGGGCATGCGATGGGAGTGGGAGTGCACAATGTTGCCTTCGTAGTCCCTGACAGAGTACACGTGAATTGCACCGTCCAAGCAGCCAACGGCAATGAGCGAGAACCGGGCGTTGATGACGGCGCGCACTGCCTTTCCCCTTGCGTCCTTGGGAATATGGAAGCAGTGCCCCTTGAAGAGCCGCTTAGAGTCAGCCCCGTCGGGCTCCTCCTCGGCGCCGTTTTTGCGTTGCTGGCGCTGAACAGCATATGCTCGCCCGTCGCTTGTGATCCAGGTGGCCAGGTTCATCGGCCGGTCGTGGGTCATTTCCACAATGGACGCCTTCTTCTCGACCCAGCCCATGCGACTCAAGATCTCCGTCCGTGTCTGGTTGCCGCTGCTGTCGGGGGTCCAGCGGATGCACTGCACCGCCGCAGGCTTCCTCGTCGCAACCACCAGCTCGTCGTCAAGGGCGAGAGCGCTCTCGATGCCGGCGTCCACCTTGATGACCATGCGGAACCGCACACTGACATCGCGAACCCCGCCTCCTTCGCCGGGGCCCCAGAGGATCTGATCGGGTCGCAGATGCGATTGCGGGCCAATCAAGCTCTGCTTTCTCCTCTGCACGTTGTGGTAGTTTGAAAAATGCGGTTTGTAGACTCTCGACTCGCCATCGGTGGCGATTGAGTAGGTGATGAGGTATCCCTTGGATGTATGTACCACGAGAATGGCGGAATCGGGACGCAGCAACAGATCGACGTTGGTGCCGTAAGACTCGAGGGACGAGTCGGATCGAACGACCAAGGCAAGGACCACTGCAGGCTGTGGGCATTTGTGCGGTTAGCCGAATGCCATCGAACATGACAAGGCACGGATGCAGGGACATGGATGGGCATAGAGAAGACGCACCTTGGTCTGCCAGAGAGTGATTGACGTGGCTGTGATGACGGCAAACATCTGCCCGGTGCGGGCAATGCGCAGCGCAAGCACCGGGTCCTTCAACGGCACCCTCCCGTCGCCCGCCGCCTGGCTCTTGGCAGCAGCAGCGCCGTCCGGGAAGAACTCGTAGCGATCGACGGGCTTGACGGCGGGCGTGGCGGGCGTGACGGGCGTCGGCGGAGGCTGCGCATCGTCGGAGTCGTCGTGCGGCGCCTGGGCGCTGGCCTCGGGCTGGGGCGACGCTAGAGAGGACCCCGAGAGGCTCTGCAGGCCGTCGTAGGAGACGTAGATGTTGGCGTCGGAGGCTCTGCTGCTGCTCGTCGCATGGACGCGCGGAGTTCCGATGGGCCAGTACATGGCGAAGGCGGAGGCGGAGGCCCAGAGGCGGCAGCTGTCGGGGATTCGCAGCGCAGACGCTCAGGCTCAGTCATTTCCTTTCGGGGGGCGGCGGCTTAGCATTGGTCCATGGGTGGGCGCCGAAGATGCTGCGATTGCGGAGGAGCGGCGTTTACTGAGGTGGTGAGGCCATCGTTTGTTTGGCAGGGAGGGTCTGTGTCGTAATGTAAGGTGAGGTAAGGTGAGGTGAGGTGAGGTGAGGTACCTATGTAAGGTAAGGTTCAAGGTGCATGGGGGAGCTTGGAGGTATTATGTAATCAGTGCGGAGGTGATGCAGTTTGTACATTGATAGTAGATGCGTCGACTTGAGAGCTCTTGTGTTGAAAAGAAGAGGGACTTGCACCTTGAAACGAGCTGGAGAGATTATGGACTGAATGATGGAATCACGGCATAAAGATTTGTTTGTGGCCTCTGAGTTGATGAGACAGTGGTTGGTGTACCGTCCATCTCCAGTCTTTGACACAAACTGCAGTCATATTCAGAGCTAGGATGTCCCAGCATATGTACAAGCTTTACATACTTGATTACAGTGAGATCATCAGATCTAATCTAATCAGCCATCTGATTGATCAAAAGGGTCATTGGGATTTCCATCTGCCGTTGCCACTGCGAGGGAATCACCGAGGCCATGTGCCTGGTTCACGGATGATCTCGGTATCAACTTACACCGATGCAAGGCCCCGTCTCCTCGTTATCAGACCGATTCAAGCTCTCTATCAAAGTGCTCTGCAGATAATAATACATACTATCGGCTAGATCTATCAGATGCCGCTGTCGGAAGGCGAGTATCGTTGCTGCCCCCCTCTCACAATTACTGCCCAAGTAGGCAGTTATCCGAACCCACAGCTCACACGCCCTAAAATAGTAGCAACCCCAGATGTCCTCCTCTCCATGTCAATCATGTTGCCGCCAGGGCGCGCCATTACTGTGTTACGTATAGCGTACGACATGTTCAACAAGCACCGTTTTGTACGTAATCCCCAGATCCAATATCCCCCCCTCCAATGCCAATGCAAAGGAATCACGGGATACTGGCGGCTACACGCGGCCGAACCCCGATCCCGGCGCCTCCCCCGACTTGGCCGGCCGGCTCCCCCAACCATCGCGTAAAGCGTACAAAGTCGCAGGCCAAAGAATGCCCGATTATGGAGCGGTTGACAAATGCTTTTATTGCATTATCAGTGTGTCGAGTCGGTGGAAGTTGGCCTGGAGGGGGCCCGGATGCTGCATGTGCATGCATGCATGCATGTACATGTACTCGGATGCTGTACGGACCTCCGTATCGCTATCGATTCCTAATACCTGACTGACTTGTTCACCTCCATTTCTTTCCTTCTTCATACCACACACTGCCCATCATACCGCTTCTTTTCTCTCTTTCGTCCAGATTGCGTCTGTCACACAGGGCGGACGGGACTCATTCTCTTGCCATCACCTCGATCACATATACCTGGAAACAAGATCTACCTACCTACCTAGTACATGTACTTGAGGCAGCTTACAGCAGATCCAAGCTGCATGTGCTCACAGCTCGCAGTGGCGACTCCTACAACTCTGAGTGTATAGGCTTTGGATATCATCTACTCAAATAGGCGAGCATTGAAATTTCTTTGTCTCACCGCCAACATGCTCCCCGTTGCAAGAGCTGCCCGTCTCCGGGCCCTCGTCGTCTCTCGCCATGGCACCGCCACGATATCTCTCCGCACAGCCAGATCCCTTCACAGCAGATCAAGCCATCTCAACAGCGCCGAAGCAGCTGCCACAGCTCAGCCAGCCACGCATGAAGCCGAATACGCGCCCTCCCTGCTGAGTGAGATTGCCGCGAGGAGAGCCAAGGCGGGGAAGCTGGTGGCCGGCATTGCTGCGGCATCGGACAGTGACATGTTCAAGGGTCCTGTAAGTGCCATGTTCTGCGGTTGTAGAATACGTGAGAAGCTGACAGTTGGCGTTACTTGAAGCAAACGGGGAAACCAAAAGCAAAAAGATGGGATGGTACGTCGTCCCAGAGGCCATACTTTGTATAAACGGGAGACCTATCAAACATACAGTAGAGACACGCCTTTAGCCCATTCGCTGACTGGCGAGCATCATCTAGACCACCTCAGTGCAGAGAGCAAGTCGAGAGAGCCCTGTTCTCTCAAGCAAGCTGCCAAACACTTGAAGCAGCCCGGGCTCATCTCCCTCGGCGGAGGCCTGCCCTCCAGCGAGCTGTTCCCTCTCGACGAACTCAACATGAAGGTCGCCATGCCGCCAGACTTTTCGGAAAAAGCAACAGCCATCCACGGACAGCATGTGACCATTGGAAAATACGACGTCCGCGACCGGGACGGCACCTACGATCTGTCCATTGCTCTCAACTATGGCCAGTCCACGGGATCTGCTCAGATGATTCGATTCTTGACGGAGCACACCGAGATCGTCTGCAAGCCCCCTTACGCCGACTGGAGGGTTTGTCAGACCATTGGCAGCACCGGAGCGTTGGAACAGGCGCTGCGAATGTTTTTGGACAAGGACCGCGGCGATTCGGTTCTGACAGAAGACTTTAGCTTCTCAACAGCTCTCGAGACGATTACTCCCTTGGGTGTCAAGGCTTTTGGTGTACCCGTCGACGACCAGGGTCTCGTTCCCGAGGCCATGGACGAGCTTCTCAGCAACTGGGATGCCAAGGCTAGAGGATCTAGGAAGCCTCATCTCCTGTACACCGTCCCCTCGGGACAGAACCCAACCGGCGCCACCCAGGGCCTTGAGAGGAGGCAAGCCATCTATCGCGTTGCGCAAAAGCACGACTTGTTCATTCTCGAAGACGAGCCATACTACTTCCTCCAGATGCAGCCGTACACGGGCCGTGGCCAGCCCGACGCCCCTGCCCCGAGCAATGTCGAGGACTTTGTCTCGTCTCTGATACCGACGTACGTCAGCATGGACGTCGATGGCCGAGTGATGCGGATGGACTCGCTTTCCAAAGTGCTGGTCCCCGGATCTCGTCTCGGGTGGATCGTCGCCTCGGAGCAGATTGTCGAGCGATACCAGCGCCACGCCGAGGTCGCCAGCCAGGGACCCAGCGGCTTCTCGCAGGTCATTGTCCACAAGCTGCTGGACGAGACCTGGGGCCACGAGGGATACCTGCGGTGGCTGATGAACCTGCGGCTGGAGTACACCAAGAAGCGAGATGCGCTGCTTGCTGCTTGTGAGGATAACCTGCCGCGGGATCTCGTCAGCTGGACGCCCCCTGCCGCTGGCATGTTTGTAAGTTGGCCACCATCCCCAAGGTTCCAAAGCACAGACTCCCTCTAATCATCACTTCACAGCTGTGGTTCACCGTCGACCACAGAAAGCATCCCAGCGCCGGCGCCCGCAGCCTCGAGGAGATTGAGCAGGAAATCTTCGACTCGTGCATCAAGAGCGGCGTGCTCGTTGCCCGCGGATCGTGGTTCCTCACCGAAAAGGACGCTCCCCTGACGAGTCTGCACTTCCGCGCCACGTTTGCCGCGGCCAGCCCCGAGAACATGAATGCGGCGATTGCGAGGTTTGGCAAGGCCGTCAAGGATAGCTTTGGGAGGCAGTGAGATTTGAATGGTGAGCCTGGGGTTGGTGTCTATAAGGCTTATGACAGTTGGCATGTATGACTTTACTCGTTGTTTCTGGTTTTCTCCTTTGTATTTCCGTGTCTGCTACAATTGACCAAAGGGGTTTTTCAGGCTGCACTGTTACCGCATAGGCTTCTCATCATAGCGAAGTATTTCATCATTTGACCCTTGGTATCCCGGCATGTAAGACAGCTGTTGCCAAACTAAACAGAATGGAGGGGAGCTCAGTGCGTGAGATCGTGATACTCGTACAAAAAGGGGGCGAGGCAGACACCCGTCCCACCACGCTTTCCTCTCTCCTCACCCCCATCTTCGTCCTTTTTCTCTCTCTTCTTTCTCTTTCTGTCTGTCATCAGTCCTGTCCAAGCCTGCTTTCGCATTCTTATACACATCATAATGCTCAGTTCGTTCCCTTCTTGGCCTCCCAAAAGGCCACATGCACTCCGTGTCCCGGCGACAGGATAATGTCCGACTTGAGCAAGGGGTTCCCCCCGTCAATCTCCGCCATGAAGCTCTGCACGCGCTCAAAGCGCTGGAAGATGCGACACAGCGTGTAGCTCATCTCCGTCAGCGCGAGCTGCTGGCCGATGCAGATGCGCGGGCCCGCGTTGAAGGGGATGTAGTCGTGCGGCCGGGGATGCCAGACGGCCCAGCGCTCGGGGCTGAAGACGGCCGGGTCGGCGAAGGCCTCGGAGGCGGGCGGGTAGAGGTCGGGGCGGCGGTGCATGACGAGGGTCGAATACCCGATCCTCGTGCCCTTGAGGACGGGCAGGGGCTCGGCGCCGTCGGGCCCGCCGCCCCGGGGCAGCGTCGTGTCCTTGAGGGCGACGCGGAGGTTGAACGGGACGGCGGGGTAGAGGCGCAGCGTCTCGTTGAGGACGGCGCGCAGGTAGGGCATGTTCTTGAGGTGCTCGTATGTGGGCAGGCGGTTGCCGTCGTCATAGGGGCCGACGGTCTCGAGGATCTCGGTGCGCAGGCGGCGGACGGCGTGCGGGTGGCGGCTCAGCTCGTAGATGGCCCAGGACATGGTCGCGGCGGTGGTGTCGCGGCCGGCGATGAGGACGGCGAGGATCTGGTCGCGCAGGACCTTGGGGTCGCGGGTGAAGCCGGCGAGGGCGTGCAAGAAGGTGTAGCCGCCCTTGTTGCTGCTGCTGCCGTCGGAGCGGGCGGCGAGCTCGTCGGGGCTCATGCGCAGGGCGCGCTGGATGAAGCCGTTGACGAAGGTGTCGATGGTGCGGATGTGGGCGCGGTAGGCGCCCTTGGGGGTGAGCCAGCGCAGGCGGGAGGCGCGGACCATGATGTTTTGGAGGCGCTGGGCTTCGGCGAAGGCGTCTGCGATGTCATGCTTGGGGGTTCTGTGTGTGTTGTCGTTGGGGAGAGAGACCTCGGTGTCAGCTAGGGGGGGAGAGGATAAGAAGACGATGAGATGCCGGAGCGGAAATGATGAAACATACGACAAGGACTTGACGTCGCTGCCCAGCAGAAAGTCGGTGGCAACGTCGAGGGTGTATCGGTAGAAGAGCTCGCTGATGTCGAGCCGTCGCCCATCAGCCCCTGAGAGGTCAACCTCCTGGTTCTCCCCGTTCAACGGCCCGCCGTTGGCCATGGCCTTGAACAGCGCCTGGATGTGCGCCTCGAAGCAGTGCAGGTCGCTCAGGCGAACCCTGGTGAACTGCGGCCTCAGGAGCTGCCGGCTGTCGTGCCACTGGGCGCCGTCGGTGGTGAAGATGCTGTCGCCGAGGAGCTCGGCCCACTCCCTGTTGAAGTTGGGCCCCTTGCCGAAGTCGTGGAACTGCGTGGCCAGCATGGCCTTGACGTTCTCGGGGTCCGCGGTGAGGACGACGCGCTCGTTGAGGATGCGCATCTCGCAGGTGTAGGAGGGGGAGGGGGAGGAGGAGGCGCCGCCGAAGAAGATATCGCGCCATAGCTCGAGGTTCTTGTGGGCGATGGTGGAGCGGACGCCGTAGTAGATGAAGTCGAGGCCTGTGGATGAGTTGAGTGTGAGTGGTAGACGGGTGTTTATATTTCTTCTTTACCGAATGGTAGACGAGGCTGGAGGGTATGGCCGTAGTTGCCGATGCTCTTGATCTTGCGATGTTCCCTTATACGGTTGATGGCTATTCGGGCCATCCATAGGGCGACTGTGACGAGGACGAATGCCTTGACGGAGACATAATGGGCCAGAGCCTCGAGGAAGCCCATCCTTCTTTCGGCCTCTGGTGAGGTGAGGTGTGTATCTGTGAGATATCTGTCGATTGACCCAGTTGACAAGTACGGGATCGTGAGTGAGTTCATTCACATACTCACAACCACGGACGTTCACGACAGAAGGGAAGAAAAGGTGCAAGAAGAAGGCATTGGACACAGCAGATCGGGGCTGGCTTTATGCAACGTGCAAATCCGAGAAGCTGAAGATCAATGACAGGGCGACCTCATGATCGCTCGGGTCCTCGGGAAGGCTAACATGCCTAGCGCGGGGACCGGCGAGTGAGGGCATTCGGGGCAATGGTTTCTTTTCCAGCTGCCAACGGATGGGGTGTTTCGTAGATCATGACGCATCTATTGCCCTCGGTATGCGAAGCTTCGTGGCTTCTGGTATGATCAAGCTGTCATCATACGATAGGTACTTGACATTACGATGTGATGGCAGCGCATATCAAGTACAATAGCATCAGCATTGGGTACCATACAGGTTGTTAGTCGAGGGCGATGGGACATTTATCCAGCACATTTACACGGTTATACGAGAAGTGTGGATGGGCTTTTTGGAGTATCTGTGATTGGCTTGTTGGCGGTTCCTTTGCTGCGAGGCCAGAATCCTTCGACTTATACCCGGCCACTTGAGATGAGAGCTCGCTTGGAACTTTCGGGACAAGTCGGCTCGACGCCGGAAGAGCCTTATACGAACCTTCACTTATAAAATTTCTGTCAATGATTACGTCTTTTGGTTTCCCAGTGCAACTGTCCACTTGTTGATAGCTCCAAAATGAGTTTTATAGAGTTTGTCAAGTTCCTTGATCATCGTGTGATGGCGCGGAAGCGAAAGCCGGGGAACCGGGCGAAAGCCTTACGGAGAGGTGGGCAGTTCATTTATGAGGGTGCTGCTAATGTGACCGTCGCGTGGACATAACTCGGTTGCTTGGCATGTTCTGCTACAGGATGCTACTTTGTGCATGCTTGAAGACGTAACGATATATGAGGGGGCTAGTATATGCCTCTGGTCTTGATTCTATACAACTCTTAAGACGAGTGTAGGGTAGTAGTCTGCTGGGCGAACTTGACAAAGTCTGGGTGTTGAGCGAGGACTGCAGCGCTGCTGATCTCCATCTGCAGATGGGCCCAAACGCGATGCGGGAGTGATGCATATCAAGGACACAGCACTTGTTTGAAGTTGTCAGCTAAATAATAGGCATATAACGTCTGTCTTCTCTTGGTGTAGACCCTTTATCAGATCGAACATCGAGGCCTCTAACAGCTGAATCCGTCCTAGTGCTGCCGCCACCCCCACCAGCCACCAACAAGCCCACCAACATCCACCCCAAAGCTCCGTCATCATCATACCTTACCTTGAACCTCACCTCAACTCTCAACCTCAACTACTCAACCACCGCACATCCCCTTCTTCCCTCCTCCTCACACGACTTCCTCACGCCCAACATGTCCAGCTTCCCGCCAGACTCGCACGCCCCAACGCCCCCCATCCTGCCCCCGAAGCCAAGCAGCCAGGAGCCCAGCCGCATCGGCACGCCAACAACAACCACCTCCGGCGCGCCTCCGCATCCGCCGTCCTCCCTCTCCGAAGCGGGGCAGCAGTACCGGGCCTCGGTCCTCTCCTCGACCGCAGCCGCAGCCGGAGCCGCCGCGACGCCGCCTCTCCCTCCTCCTCCTCCTTCTTCGTCAGCCACAACAAGAGCGGCGGCCGAGATTCCTGATCCAGGCGACCAGTGGCTGCCGCAGGTCGTCCAAGACAAGTCGTGAGTTTTGCAAAATCCAGATTCCCCCCCGGACCAAAAGAAGAGAGTATAGGTAAACTGACAAGGCCCCGTCCCAACAGAAAACAAGACATCGCCGACATCCTCTCCAGCCCATCCCTCCTCAACGCCCTCACCCACGCCCCGCAAGCCATCCACCCCTCCCTCGCCGCCTCCCACGCCGCCCTCTCCGCCGCCCTCGCCAGCAACACGGACCTCGCGGCGCGCCTCCTCGACGCCGAGGCCCGGCTCGCGCGCCAGCGCTCCGCGACCCAGGCCCAGCTGCTCTCCAGCCACGCCCTCGAGCGCCAGTGGCGCCAGCGCCAGACGGACATGGACACGGCCCTCGCGCGCTTCAGCCCCGCCGCGCTCTACCAGCTGCTTGCGCAGAGCGTGCAGGAGCAGGCCGGCGTGTGCCAGGCCATGGAGGAGAGCTTCCTGGATGCTGCTGCTGATGATGCCGGGGTGGCGGGCGAGAGGGAGGCCGCCGAGTGGATTCGCAGGTACAGGGAGGCCAAGGTGCAGTTTTATCTGAGGCAGGAGAGGAAGGAGAGGTGGGACGAGGGGAGGGTTGGGGGGTGGAGGTGAGGGCATGTTGCTTTCTGGGGCTTTCTGTGTTTTTTTTTTTTTTTTTTTTTTTTGCTGGTGGGATTGCCTGTTATGATGCGATGATGGATGGGGGTTGGGCGTTTCTGGTTGGGAAACAGCGGGATCGTTTTGAAGCCGGTTATTGGGGCGTGTCTTTTACTGTTTTTTCTGTCGTGAATAGCATGGTCACGGATCTCGTTGCGGGCTACTACTAGAGGTAGAACGATTCGAGATGTCCTCTATAGAAGGCGTCTATTTTTTTCAGCTCTTTTACGCCTCAGGGATCACGTCAAACGCCAATCTTTCATGTACCAATCTATAGTATGTTGAAGCGAAACACTAGGTAGGATGGAGCTGGAGTTTACATAGAAGCCTGCCCATCAAGGTAATGCCTTGGGTACATGTATAATAAATCTACATGATGGGAAATCATGATACCGTTTTTCAATGGAGTGTATAAGATGTCTATCGTCGATGACTCTCTAATGCCGCCTTGACTATAAAACAAACGATTGCGTTCAAGGGTATCGTATCAAAATATTACAAATATTGACAACAGGCTAAGGTATATGCAAATGCTGGATATGGAATTTTGGTCTCCTCTCTTTCTCTCTCTCTCCCCCCCTTCTCTCAAACTCTCGCACACTCACTTCTCCCCCAGAGCTTTCCTCAAAAGCAAAGTGGAAGAAGGAGGCGAGGTATCTTCTTCTTCTCCCCCATCAGAGGCCCACGCCCAGGGCGCTAAAGGGACTCTTAATCATGTCCGGGCTTCTAGGGCTCATGGGCAGGGCAAATAGGTCATCCTCGGCATCCTGCGCGTCAGGCTGCGAGGGCACTGCGTCGCCTTTGAGGGCAGCATCAAGGGACATCGGGCCGGTTGGGCGGGTGCGCGAAATGGCCGAGAAGGACGACACGGCAATGTCACCCCCAAGGGGGGACAGCATGTGGGACTGACTATCGGGGCTGGTGAAGGTGTTTGCTGGTTTCGGGGCAACTCATTGTATTAGTCCGAGACTGAACGAGCGAAGCGAGGGGATGGCATATGTAGTCATGTGGTGGTGGATGAGACAGGTATGTATCAGATGCTTACCTGCTGGGCTCGGCACCAGATCTGCCGGCGACGTGGCCAGGCGCAAGCCCTTGAGCTTATCGCCAAGGCGTCCAGAGACGGGAGAGCGGGGAGCCATGGCGGTGGCATTGCTCGCGGGAGGAGGCGAGGGAGGCGCGCGCAGGAAGTTGTCCACGATCCACTGCTTCTCCGCCAGCGCCATCTCGAGGCCGACGCTCTCGGGGTTGACCCTCATCTCGGCCTCCATCTCGAGCTCGAGCTCCCGCAGGCGCTTCTTGGCCCATATCGTGTGCAGGACGCCCCGGGGCCCGGACTCGGCGTGGAAGTGCTCGGGGAAGATGGCGGGCAGCGGCTTGAGCACCAGGCTGGGGCGGCCGGGGCAGGCAATCGTCACGGTCGCTGGCACGGGGGCATCGGGGGGCAGCATGAAGTAGACGCGGCGCCTGGCGTCGTCTTCGTCGTCGGTGTCCCTGGCAGGGAGAAACGTCGACTTGCCGGCCCAAGAGACCTCCCAGGCGGCGGCGTCGACGACGGTGCTGTCATGGGCCTTATCGCTGGAGACGACGTCGACGCTAGGAGTCGTCGTCGTATCTTGTCCGGCCAGGGTGGGGGCACCAGGATACCACTCGACCATCAAGATCTTGGTGCCATGATCGCTGAACTCGAAGCGAGCCAGATGGGTGGCCACGGGAGGCGTGTCCCAGCTCGCGTCGGGGGCTGCGGGAGCGAGCTTGTCGTCGTCGGCATCGTCGTCCCTGGCGACCACGGCGCTGTCGACGGCGGGTGGCTGGTCGGACTGAGGCTGGGACTGAGACTGACGAGGCTGGTGATGGTGATGGAGCTCGGGCTGAGGTTCGGCTTCGTGCCGCGGTTGCTGCTGCTGCTGCTGCTGCTGCTCCTCCTCCCCCTCTTGCCGGACAAGGCCAGGCTCGGCCTCATGCTGGTGCTCGTGCCCAGCAGCATCAGCAGCAGCCGGTGGCCGAGGAGGCCCCGAGGATGGGTCCATGGCGAGAGAAGCTGATCTGATAACCAGAGACAAAGAGGGCCTCGTTGGGCCAAGTCAAGTTCCAGGCGGTCGGCAGCAGGTCGCAAGTCGCAAAGTAGCAAGTAAGGTAAGGTAGCACGTAGCCGAAAGCCGTCTGGAGGCACGAGGGTAAGGGATGGATGTCGCAGCAAATGTCCGCTCGCCCGGGGGGGTGTAACCAGTATGATGACTTCTCTCGGTGACACTCGGGGCAAGAGTCGGGGGATCTTTTTTGTGTCTCTCTCTCCCTGCTCCTCTCCGTCCCGCCTGTCTGGTCTCTTTTCACTCTTCTTTTTTCTTTTCCCCGTCTTGCCGTTAGAGTCGCAATTCACGGTACATGATGGCTGCTCCGGGATGGACAAAGAGAGGGAGAGAGAGAGAGAGAGAGAGAGGTTGAGCAATTGTGGATGGAGGAAAGAGTCGAGCTTCTGCATTGTTGCGGCGACGTGATTGGAGGAAAGGACCGGCCAGGGTCGCGGGGGGTCGGGGTTTACGGCATGTACAAGTACAGATACAAAGCAGGTACTAAGTAGAGGTAGCTTGCGTGCGGTTACGATGATGATGCGGTTTCTTGGAGTTGATGTTGATGTTGTTTGTAGGCACTCGTACTGCTTGCTTGCCTGCTTGCTTGCCTGCTTGCTTGATACCTATCCTCTTTCTCTTCTATTCTTTTCTCTTTTCTTTGATACTCCGGCCTTGCTTTCCTTCTGCTGCCCCTTGGCGGCGGTAGGTACTCCGCATACTCTGTATAGGTACGGCACAGCGTCGGCTCAAGCATCGCCATTTGTAATGGCCGGAATTAGGGTCGAGATCCATGGATGACCGAACTATCGTACCTCGACATGCAACACAAGCCCTTTCTATCCGATGACGTTCTGGTCCAGGCACGAACTGCCTCAGACAGTTTCTGATGGCGGGTGCAAGATAGAACCGAACCGAAGCAAAGGCAGTCTTGATCTCAACCCCAAGGTGACGCCTTCGTGGTCCATCGTCACCAAGAAATGTCTTGTTTCCTTCACCATCCCGTCATGGGCCAAATGTCACTCCAGAGGGGTCCAAGGCCAGCTTATCAGTGGTGCGGCTCCCAATCCGACCCCTGCAGCTCCCAATGCTGGCCCCATCTGTGATGCTATATATCCTAATTATGCTGTTATAAAAATAGCATCAACCCGCAAAGCGCGCATGACGAAGCATCAGACGGGGTTTCAATGTTTCCTCTTTGTTTCCTCTCGGTCCAGCTCTCAGCAGTGATGAGTCAGCGGGCAGACAATTACTATTCCCAGGTAATGCCTGCTTCTTTGTCTCACGCAGTCAAAAAAGCCAAGTCTGCAGCTTGTTCGTCTCGCTGGTGCTTCCGGTTCGCTTCAACGCCGTCCATCTTCCCTCCACAATCTCCACCGTTCGCCACCCGAGAGCCGCCGAAAAGTGCCTATCAGTGCCTGTCCTGTCAGCTGAGATTGGAACGGGGATTCCTGCTCTTTTGCTCGAATGCACAGTGCTGATTTCGCATCAAACTTGCACTACTACTACTGGGAAGTTTCGACGATGGCCCCCAAATCGGCAAATGCCACCGGAATGAAGCCGTAGATTAAATTCACCGAGATCTCTATCTCTCTATCTCTCTCTCCCCCCCCTCTCTCTGCTCTATGCTCTTCCCTTTCTCGCCTCCTGCTGTAATACACGGCGTGTATCGTAATAAGGTACGGCACTTTATTGGTGCGGGCAGTTTTCCTGCACGAACCCGGCCATGTGCGAGTCAAGCTTGGAGATTGTGTGCCATCAAATATGCTCAGCTATGTAGTAGTAGTAGTACTAGGAAGATTTGGCCGGTTAAACTGGGCGGATAATTGAAGGCTTGATGATGATGGTGCGTAGGTAGGTGATAGTGGTAGTATTCTCCATCTTGATAGAGTTGCTTACAATGTTCTTGATAGAGTTGCTTACAATGTTCTTGATAGAGTTGCTTACAATGTTCTTGCGAGTTAAGCTTCAATTGCCCGCAGTCATTCCGGCATGATTATCTCTGGAGTATCTCTGGAGATACTCTTGCTATCTTGACCACAGTATTCGGCTAGTAGTACTGTATCGCCACCACAGCTGATACTGCTAGCCGTCGTCGCACGGAGAAATAGGACCGGCGTCAAACAAAGATCGCCGTGGGCTCCCACTTTGCCCTCGGCGATATGCTCCACGGGCCCCTCCCCCGTGGATTCAAGCATCAATGACCGTCACCAACAGCTCCCGGTCCGGTATTACTACTAGTACTAGTAGTATACTATCGTGAGTGGGAACAAGGAAAGAAAAGAAGCCAACGCAAATAGTCCGCCCGAGACCAATAAACGGGTCCCGACCTCCCCTGATAGCAATACATGCACTGTATTATTTTACTGCTGCCAAGTAGCACGCCTGATAGGGCGAAAATGCACCATCGGATAATATTTCCGACCCATCTTCGTTGTCCTTGTGTCTTCTTCTCAACATCACCTTGTGATGCTGTAGGCTTACTCGCGCCTTTTTGTTTTGTGGAATTCTCATCCGGGCCTTCCTCGCTGCGTCTGTGCTGTGATTGATCACCTCGGTCAATTCGGCGAGAATGGCATTGTGGACGTGCTTCGATTAGGAACGTGCACATTGCCAATACGAGTAATTGGCCTACGGGCAGCTGAGTTTTGAGGTGACATTGCTTTTAGCCCAGGTTTCTTCTTCTCAGCAAGGGAGAAAAGGGATTTTTGAAGTTTCATCAAGACTACCCTTGGAATAAGGCAGTAAGTGGAAAGAATGAGAAGGTGTGGTTTGGTTCCACGGAAGCATCCGAGTGGACGCCGGGCAATTCGGTTCAAACAAACCTTGCCATTCAAATCCTCCGAGGGAGCAACCATCATGCCATCCGTCCATTCGTTTGTAATGGGAAAGCTTGCAGCGTTGCAACGAAAAGACGCACGACTTTCGATCCTAAATCCCTTTGAGATGCTCTACGTCGCCCGCTCCAATCGGGAAGTTGACTGGCTGGCCCGTATCGGTCCTTTGGGTGAGGCGAGATTTGCCAGCTTTTTCTTTGACGTTACAGTCAAGGGTTGCTCTGGGACCCGGAATACGGGCTTGCACGCTGCCTGTTGTTTTCAATTGCACGATTCACATGCAATCTTTGGAGGTGATACCACTACAACAACACCGTACTCTGGGCTCTTCGAAGTGTTGCTTCTCATGACACACCCTGATGCTACCGTGCAGAGTAAAAAAAAAAGAAACCTCCTGAATGAGCTCCCGGAAAACAGAGCTCGACGCGAAATTCCTCAGCTCCGGATCGGTGCTACTGTGTCATCCCGGTCCAGCCATGGTTCCATCTTGTCTACTGCCACTGTTCCGAGCGATGCCAACTTGCTATATACGAAAACAGAACATGATAATACGGTAACATCCAGTTCCCTTTGTCTTTTCCAGTGCTGCGGTGTTGTTGGAGACAAGGTTATTTTCTGATTACTGTACTCTATTCTCATCGCAAATAAATGGAAGCCATTGATTAATATCTACGACGAACAAAACAATGAGCCCCATTCCGAGCTTCCCGACGACGGCATGCAGAAATATGGAGACCTGTCTGATAGAGCTACTACTACATGTACTCGTAGTACTAGTAGTACCAGTATCTGATGGGCAACGTCACTGCAGTCCATTGCAAAGGCCGGATGCATGGGAAGTCGTCGAAATACTGACTCGCCATGTTCTCTGGAGAACACTCTATTTAGTTGTAAGAGTTTCTCACAAACAAAGGCCAGCACTGTACGGAACATCTCCAACAAGTGAGCTTTTGGCTCAGGTAATCTTTGGAGACACTCCGGTTTGACAGGTTCGCGGGACTGCTTAATACGGAATAGCAGCAACCTGAACTCAACGTGACGGAACTAATACCGGGGCTTCCTTTTTTTCTTTGCATTGAGTTTCTGTTTGATAAGATCGCCAGAACTGATGCTTGCCGGCCACAGTCCATGAACGTGAAACGGCCACGGTGCTTTAAATGCCCACTTGATGCGGGCGATCTTTGACGGCAATTATCCATGTGAATTTACCAGTACCTTAATTTACCGTTAGTATATGTACATACGGCTTGACGAGTGCTAATACCGGTACGGCAGTTGTTTGGCCAGAGGTTCGTGCAACAAGAAACTGCTGCCTTTCAAGTGTTGATATCGAAGCATCCCCGATATAGAGACTCCGCAAGGCCGACACAACGCCAAGCGTCATACACACTCCACATCACTCTAGACTCACTGCTTCTTCTCCAACTTCTTGTACGCGATTCACAGCTTTGTTTTTCTTCACTGCACATCTTGTCCGTTTGGGGCACCACAGCATTGCCTTGTTTGGAAGCATGTCGGCACATTCAGCCAGAAAACAAGGGCGGCACCTTCGGTAGTTGCTCGATGGCTTCCAGATGCAATGACTTCATCATCTGCCCCCATCTACCGGGCCGCCCATCACCATCATCAAAGCAAACCGGGACACCAGCAGCCAGCACCCGGCGCCAGCTCCGTGACGCTTGCCTAGGCAGCCCGGCATGGAGATCCTAACTCAACACAGGCAAAGGCACGGGGGATGCGACGTGCCAAAGGTACATTGTAGCACCTGGTGACTTGCCATCGTCTCCTCTGTTGCGC